TTGGTGCATTTACCCTAGGATCTTTGTTTTCAATATCATATGACAGTTAAAACCAAATGCTTTATTCTATCTTAATTGTTTTTTCATGCAGCCAGCAAACATCTGTTGGACTTTAACCTAGTAGAGGACATAAAGATGAAAAATGAATTAATACTAGAGGCTATTTCTTATAACATAAATCAAATTTTTATTTCATATATTTTTAGAAAGAACTTTAAACTATAGTTCACACATACAAATAGGCTTTGCACGTTTGATATGTTTCACCCTATTGAAATACATGACAAGTTGACATTGATGATGACAGGGGTTACTTGGTAAAGTGAGACAGAATGATAGAGTCATTAAATCTTAGATTGAGAAGGGGATGTGGGAAATATAGCATGTTCATTTTCTAGATAAATATATTCCTGTTGTAAAAAAATAGATTTTCTAGATAAATACATTGCAATTGTAAAAAATTAATGAACAGAAATCTCAATTATTAGAGTTGAGAGACCAGAAGGAGGAGGAGCTCTCATACCCTGCGAAGATAGCAGAGCCCAACAGAAGAAAACAGAGTGCTCCTCTTTCCTGGTGAGGACTCAGCCAATGCAAAGCGATGGACTCTGTTTACTATGGCCCCCCAGCTTCCTTTCTCCCCTCTATAAAAGTGTTCTCCTCCCCTTGAATGGGGACTTGCATTTGGCTTGCCATGGTTGCAGACCCCAAACTGGAACTCTGCTGATTTTTAATAAACCAATCTTTGCTGGAGAACTATCTGGCAGTGTGCTTCTGTCAGGTCAAGACAGTAAGCATGCATCCATGCTAAGTCACTTCAGCTGTGTCTGACTCTTTGCTGCCCCATGGACTGTAGCCCACAGGCTCCTCTGTCCATGGGATGCTCCAGGCAAGAATGCTGAAGTGGGTTGCCGTGCCCTCCTCCAGGAGATCTTCCCGACCCAGAGACTGAACCCACCTCTCTTACGTCTCCTGCACTGGCAGGTAGGTTTTTACCCACCAGTGTTGCCACACTGTCATTTTTTTGAGGAGAATTCTTCCTTCCTACTCTGCTAGTCCTCCCAAAGTGGTATTTACTCCAAACACTCCAAGCCTCTGAGAATCTTACTTAGTCTCACATAGAAGGGGTATACTAACTGGATATTTATTAAGGTTCATCATCTTTTATGCATTTCCTGAGTCAGGTTGCTTACACCATCTTAAACAGCTACAAAATAATTTTAACCTGATGGATGTAGTACTGAACAAAAACCCTTTTTTTTTTTAAACATAAGCCTTGTGATCTCCATGTGAAAAAGAAGGATTGATCAAGGCTGCTTATAATTGTTTTTTTGGTAATATTAGGGTTCACTGCTAGAAATGCTATATTATTATTATTGTTCAACTAAGTCACATTCTTCAGTATTGGTTCTATCAGTAAATGTAGTTATGTATAATCCTTACTGTTTATTTATTTCCAAATCATTTAGAGCTTGCATCACTCTCAAATCTTAACAGGATTTGTTTTATTAGTTTTTGTGTACAAGAGTGTGTGTGTGTGTGTGTGTGTGTGTGTGTGTGTTTTCATGAGACAAATGGCATATCTACCTGAAAAAATATAATGACCATGTGAGTAGATTTCTTGAGAAAAGAGGTATGCTTAAGTCGGCAAGACTTTATACTTCAGTCAGCCAGATAAAATAAAACACACCCATTTAAGTTTATATTTCAGAAAAAATAACAACTATATATTTAATATAAGTATGTTTCACTCATCCTTTACCTGAAATTCAAATTAACTGTCCTTTATTTTTACTAGACAATTCTAGCAATCCTACTATAATGACTTTTTTTCTCAATGGAAGAAATGCAGTAAAGACAATGACTAATAAAGAATACTAGTCACGTTGCGAATTCATTTCTTATATATGTACCCGAATTTCTGTAAGACAACCATGTTTAAAACAGCTATTCTGGAGCACACAGGAGAGAGAGAATTGCTAACTGATACACTTGGATTCATAATTGAGGCATTTATTTTACAGTGAAATTCAGTTCAGTTCAGTCACTCAGTCGTGTCTGACTCTGAGACCCCGTGAACCGCAGCAAGCCAGGGTTCCCTGTCCATCACCAATCGCTGGAGTTTACTCAAACTCATGTCCATCGAGTCAGTGATGCCATCCAGCCATCTCATCCTCTGTCGTCCCCTTCTCCTCCTGCCCCCAATCCCTCCCAGCATCAGGGTCTTTTCCAATGAGTCAACTCTTCGCATGAGGTGGCCAAA